TGTTAAAGTTTAACCCTCCAAGGAAAGGCAAGACTGGAGTTGCGTAATCTGACATGAAATAAAATGGTCTCAAACTAGTAGGTTTGCTGATTACGGTACGTCTGGGTTTAAAACAAAGATAAGAGAGGCTATTGAAATTAATATATAATAAAATACGTTGAATCTAAGAAATGGTGATAGAAAGTTGAGTAGCAATTGCTTATACTTGATTGATAGATTGAAAGAGAGAGAGGCTGTTGAGCAATTGCAACTCAACTTTCTATCATCATTTCCCAGATTCAACGTATTTTATTATATATTAATTTCAATAGCCTCTCCTATCTTTGTTTTAAACCCAGACATACCGCAATCAGCCAACATACTAGTTTGAGACAATTTTATTTCATGTCAGATTACGCAACCCCAGTCTTGCCTTTCCTTGGAGGGTTAAACGTTAACGACCCTTAACTGAAAGGTTAGGACAAGTGGTTTCGTAACTTGATTATCATGCTTACAAGCTCATATTTCATTATCTCAACCATACTTATTTACGGACGTAGGCAGTCTCGGTCAAATATTCTCTCTTGGGTTATTAGGTCTTGAGGATCAGAACCAGATATTTAACCTTTGATAAGTCTGATTTAGGAGCCGTATTGCATATAAACGCTAACACGCACAAATATACATACACATACAATCGACAAGTATGAAAGAAAATTAACCAAACCACTCTATATCGATCTATCTAGGATTTTTAATTTTTTAATTTTTTGGCTTGGCTGAGTCTATATAAGAAGTAAGATAGAGCTGGATAGTGTTCTTGCTTTAGTGCTAACGTGAAACTTTTACAAGAATGACACCCAGCTCTGATAATATCCATCATATGATGGACGAAAGCTCTGCACGTTTTCACCCGAAACGAGGGAGGAAGTCTCGTGGACTGTGCTAACATGAATATCGTATAAAAGCCAAACGGCTGAAGTACAACGAGATTCATCCGTCCTCATCTGTTGAGATCGACCAACGAATCTCTTTTTTACACCCCTTTATTCGAAATGAAGATCCCCTAACAATGTTATCTCAGGAGATTCATCGAAACCAACTTTCTATTCGTATTTAATTTTACATTAATATTACACTAGATCCTCACTTACTCCTTTGCTGAAACCAAAAAAGGGGGTTTACTTAATACACTTTACTATTTTTTGCCTTCATCGCCTAAGTTAAACAACTTGGCTCTTATCCAGTATTTGAATCCTTTGCAGCTATTAACTGTAAAGAATTTTTTTGAGCTAAATAATTCCATAAAATTGGATCGCTCAACCTTAGGCTCCTGTAAATAAACTTTCTAATGAGGTGGAAAAAGCTCCTTGATACATAACATTTTAAAGCCTGTAAACCAAAAAATGCCGTATAACCACTTTAAAATCATTTCTGTGCCCTTACTAAATTTGTAAAACTGGTTTTCACAGAGTTTAGGCCAACTTAACTCATATGATGGTCTTTTTGCCTAAAACTAGAACCACAGTTATTCAACTCTCCAACATCATCAGTTTACTGTTCCATCAGAGAACAAAATCTGCGTGAAATTCAGAAATTATCTGTCTTTATATATGTTATGTATTTTGTCGACAAGAACTGGAAGTTGAACTTT